AGGGAAAGAAGTGATAGAAGCATGCATTTGGAAGGGAAATGACAGATGAGGGTAAACTCTGCAAGGCCAAATTGTGAGGCAGAATAAGCCTAGCAGTCAGCACAGCAAATGGCAAGGACTCAAAAATGCTATGGATATGCAGAGCTAGTAAGGAACTGAGACTTGAATGCTACTGGTAGAGCTCCTCAAGCCACCAGATTGGCAGCGTGAGGGATAGGAAAATGCTGGGACAACTTACTCATCAGGAAGTAATCCCAAGAACGCTCCTTTCTTTCAGTTGGCTTATGGGTTCCTTACACCCATAAGGATCTAACAATGTCCCTAACATGCTTTGTCTTCAGTCCTGCTCCGCATATAGTCAACCTGCAGTCCTGTTAGTCATCTTTGCCAACAGTGAACAATCTTTTCACATTCTGCATATGAAAAATCCTTAAATACCTCCTCTTTAGGTCTATATATTCAGATTTCTTTGCCTGAAAACATGTAAATCTCATACCTATAAATTTTACATACGTGGTCTTACACCTTTGCTCACATTAACGTCTGCTGTATAATAAACCATTTTTACTCTTTTAAATCTCTCTGATCTCTCAAGCAGCATAAACTGTCTTGGACTTTGTTGCTTAAGGTACAAGCTTCATTTTTACCACTGCTGCCAGTAGTAAATTGTGCTGACACAAAGGAACAATGTTTTAGTTAATTCATATACTGAAAGGCAGCATATATTGGTCTAGTGCTTACCATGATTAAGTATGCTGTGTATACAGTAATGGAGAGCGGATCATTTGTCACATTGCATAAGGGTAATACTTAAAAAGTATTTTTAAAATTTTCCTTATGACTGGACTAACTCCTTCTTAACTTATTTAAAAAAGCAAATGATTCCCCTTCTAAATTCTCTTTGTTGGGTATTTCTGTGCTGGTTAATTTACTTGAGACTGCTAACTCCCATTAGTCAAACCTTGAGACCAACACTTTGCTTCCTGTCCTCTCTAGCTACACTTGCTAAAACGCCCTGCAGATTCCAGCTTATCTGAAGTGTTACATAAAGTGGTTTCCAGTAAAAGGAACTTAACTTGCTAAGTGCAGGCACAACGGTTAGGTGAATTTGCAACCTAATCTGTTTTCTTGTATCTTAGAGGTCTGTAAATACGCACAAGAATCTTTAACTTACAGCAATGCACGCATGACAGTAAGGTTGCTGCCAACCTAAAGCCGGATGATACCATTAATATAGACGGCACCTGGAATATCAGAACTAGATGACCTTAAAAGATAAGACTACTAGAGATGGAATAAAATTTACTGTAAGGAACATATGAACTGGCTTTCAGGTTAGTAACAAGAATATTTACTACGTTTGAGAGCTCAGTATTGAAGAGAAGACAAGACATGAGTTTGTTACTTAATTACAGGTTGGCTCTTCAGCATCCATTTAATGCAGCCTGAAGAAAAGATAGGTTTGATCTTCCATGCATCAAGCAAGGTTCTGGTATGAGCTCAGCTGAAACAGCACAAAGTATCATTTCTGCTAATGGAAGATGAACTGAGTAGGTACTGAGGAGAACCTACCTAATAAGCAGTAGCTTATTTACTTTTGATGTACTTACAGAAGGTAATGATAGCCTCTTTCTGCAATTTTCTTGTACTGGACTAAAAGTTGGAACAATAACTCAAGCTTTAAAAGTCCTGCTGGTTAGAATTTAGAATAAAATTTGTCTTCTCGAATTAATTTCCTGAGCGCATTTTCAGTAGTATCCAAGGGCAGAAAGATATTAGTTCTACAGTAAAGGTTGACTGCTCTACGTGAGGAGGTATAGGAAACTCCGGCCTGTAGTAGCAGGGACTAGACTGGTGCGTGAAGAGCACCCTTCAGCTGTGATATACTTGAGCTCTATTTTTTTTCTTCCAGGATGTGTGAATTTGTAGATCAACTTCATAAACACTTCAAATATCCTACTGTAATCAAAAATGCTTCCTACATGCTATCTCTGGTATGCTCTCTTAAGTGTATACACAAAGGAAAGTACCTCCATCACAAACAGTGAAAGATTTTTTAAGACTTAAAACATAAAATAGCAGATGTTTCACATGGTATTCAGTACACTTGGACTGAAAAAAGGGATGGTGGATGCATTACTACATGGAACAAAAAAGTAGGTTTGTTAATTACACCTGAAAAGTGTTTCTGAAAGGAGCGTAACGCTAGTCAGAATTCAGCCCTGGGAACGTCTCCAGGTCTGTCTAATAGTTTGCATTGCTGACTTATCTAGCAAACATAAATGTATTAAGAGCGTGCCTTCAACATCTGTTATCCTCTGCAACTCTAACCAGAAAACAGGGATAGGGTAGGACTGGGAAGACGACTCCCACTGGCCTTTTACATAGGCTCAAAGGACGATGTAAATTCATAGTCCACTCTTGAGCAGTATAAGAAAATTGTTACTCAGTTGCAAAATATATCTTCACTTCCTCCCCAATGAGTAAACAATATTCTGATCTGTAAAGGATGAAAGAAATGAAAGAAAACTCTGCAAGAAACTATCAGTTTCCAGAAGGAGAAGGTTGGCAGAAGCACCTGTCAAGCCAAAAGGCACAGCAGCATTGAATAGTTAACCCCCATAAGATCTTAACTGAAAGGTAAATTCCTCAAACTCACTTTTGGAGCACACAGAATCACATGAAGTGGTGCTACAAAAAAATTAATCTGAAGATAAGTGCTTCTGTATAATGAAGGGATTTGCAAATAATTTTGGTGTAAAATATGTTTCTGAAAGTTATGATCAGTTTAGTTTAAGAGAAATGGAACAGTCCTCTTACTTTCAGGCCCCTGAATGAACTGAATCAAAGCCCAATGTTTATTAAATTCTTAGAATTAACTCAAATCAAACACCTTTGCAATGATATTTGCCACTATTTACTGACTCTAAAAATTAAATAGCAGCTATGTCAAATAAAAATTACTATGCATTCCTCCATATGTTAAAGTATATACTGAATATACCAAGTCTGAATATTAACTGTAATCTGTCCACAATTGAATTTCTGAAGAGGAATTTCGTATGGACTGAAGATACAGCAAAGGTTGCAAGGATATTAAGAGATAAAAACTGAATTCTGCTAAGATTTAATCCATAGGCTCAAATCCTACAAGCACCTCTACCTCTAAACTTTTACTGCTCCAGACTGTAAAATTAGTTTGCCTGTTTATGGGATCTGGACTTGAATGATGAGTAATGTGACTTATTCATCAGTCGTATATATACAGATGGTTTGCTGCGAGGCAGACAGATTGTTGCTAATACTACCTGTAACCTAGGTTTAACTACAGTTCTGTTTGATTTGTCTCAAGTTCATCATTCATGTATGGTTGGGGAATGAAAAATGCTGATACACAGATGTTATGAGGAGATTCTGTTTCAGACAGCTCCATTAAGACCTTTTGCCTTCCTGCTCGATTCACCTACGAAGACCATGGTAAGCCCGGATTTGTTTTTCCTTGCTAAAGCTCACCTTCCAAGGTGCTAAAGTAGAACAGAATTTACCTTTGCTTTCCATCTCTTAATGTATTACTAGCTATAAACAAACATCATAGTAAAATTAAATATTCATCATCCCTTTCAAAAGACATTTTTAAAAAAGCTTTATTAAACATTATATGCATTTTAAAGAGCTTTTCAACCTTGAAAGAGTCCTCTATTATACACAAAATTTCTTATTTTCGGTACCAAATAAAGCATGTAAAAGTGCTATGCAGAAAAAGTTTGCATTTCCCTATGGTGGTAACTGAAGCAGTAACTCATGCAAGGTGTAGGAAATCATCTCACTAACAACTTACACTATGTTAGCATCCACATAGTACATGTATTGCCTACAAAGCAGGAACGAATAATCTAAACTCACCTTTCAACGCACAGAAGCTTAAGTCTGTCCTGCTTTTTTAAGGACGGAAAAAACAGCAGCACTTTCCATGCCTAGAAATCAGTTCTGTATGACAGCTTCATACAAAAGGCAACATCACTCTATTAGTATCTACTTTCTCAATAATAAAATTTGTTTCTTTTAAAGTAGTCGCTTTCTAGAACAGGATCTTCTCCATATACAGTAACTAAGGTTTTCTATTAAAGAAAAAAGCATAACTTGAAGTAGTGAGAAAGCCAGATAGCTTAGCTAGATTTCCATGTTAATAGAAGCTGTTTTATAATATTAAACAGCCATCTCCATTTTAATAGGTGGATGGGGATTATAATCTTCAATCTGAAAGTCTTCTGCCTTAAAGTCACTGATGTCTTCAACCTTACGAAGAATTCTGAGTTTGGGGAAAGGTCTTGGTTCCCTCTGAAGCTGAAATAAAAACATGCCCCAAGTTTACTGTACAAAGCTAATATCTGGAGGCTGAGATTAAGCGTGTGCTGCTTCCATACTTTCACAATTAAAATTAGATTTTATTAATCTCAATTCACATTACACTATGTAGGTTCTCCCTCCTCCCCAGGAAGACTTATACTGAAGAAAAAAAGAAAAAGTGTAACAGAGCCAGGTGGAACATGCTTCAGAGTTTTGACTGAGAACAGAAGCATCATTTCAAAGGGGATTCTTTGATCGTCCAAAGGCACTGCAAGCAGTTTCAGTTTTGCAGAGCAATTCTGGTGGTTGCAAATTAGATTCCTTCCAGACAAAACTAAATTGGAAACTCTGACCCAGGCAGGCACCAAATGTGCTGTTAGTTTCCAATGGGAATGTTAAGGCTCAAACCAACGACTGGTACTTATGATGGTTTTGAACCATAGGCGTGGTGAGGATATTCAGTCCAAGGTAAGTCTAGTAAAATAAGATTCTGATTTGCTTTTACTGCACAAAATTACTTCCTGAAGAAAATTTAGCCATGTTCAGGCAAATAGTAGTTCTGATTAACTATTGTCAATTGATGCTATTCTTTACTAATACACCCCAAAGGCACTTTATTTTACCTGTATTAGGCAGAATGGTTTTCTAAGGTTTTGTAATAATGAAGTCCAAAGCATACAGATTCTGGATCTCTGACTTAGACCTAGAACAGTAGCATTCTGTCTCTAATCCAATGTACAATTCAATCATGTTTCTCTTATATTTCTGTTTGTAACCAAGGTTAGACATAGGTTAAAGACTAATACATTACCCACTTCAAGCACCACGGTTATTAGGGAGAAATGAGAAGAAGAGATATATAAACTAATATTTGCAAAATAATATTCAGAGCACGAACTCTGGCTGCAAAAGATAATTTTGTATTGGATGAGCACAGTGGAAGACAAAAGGATACAACGATACAGAGAAAGTACTTACTTGCACTTTCAGAGGTTCCACATGATTCAGATATATGTGAGCATCTCCTAACGTGTGTACGAACTCTCCAGGCTGAAGAGAAAGGAGAATATAGGTGGTCTTCAAATAGTCAGTTTTCAAGAAAGCAAAACATTACAATGCTTATAGTATGGATTCTTAGCATCTATTGCAGAACTGCAACTTCTGCATTGACTTGGCTTATCAAGACATCCTTGCAAGATTCAACGGCCTCCCTGTTCCTAGACTACTGCATAATTAATGAATAATATATTCAATTTCCTAACTTACAGAAGTATCTTTGCAATCCTGCTAGCATAATAGCCACTATTACTGAATGCAGCACTACTATTGAATTAACACAGACGGAAGCAGATGGGACTGTGATGGGTACAACTTTTCCACTCCATCTCTATTAGGTAGGACTGGCCAAAGCTAGCTTAAACTAGCTACCTTGACCACTAATAAACAACACTTTGTGGCGGTGCAACTCTCAGCCACAAGTTAGACCCCAAGCATTTATCTAGCAGCCGGATGGATTTTGCAAGCTTGCAAGTTTTGCTACTTAGCGACCCATGAGCAATTTAAAGCCAGCTGAGGTAAGTTTTTATCAGATATAAGCACACCTCTGACCACAGTGTGGACCAGCCCTTGGATATACCATGCTCAAATGATGTACACCTGACACTCAGACTGGACTGCTGCAGTACAGAAGGCGTTAGGAGAATACTCCTTGCATTTACTTTAGACTAGTAATGGTCTGAATGGTCTAAATTGTCTGTCTTCAGAGGGTACATCGCTTCTCAGGTAATGTCATTTTAGTTTAAAAATCATTCAAACACTGTAAAAATTATCACTACCCAATATAAATATATACTAAGTATCTAATTTGTGATTTTACACACATTATACTTATTCAGAGATCTGTATCAGACAGCATTTCTCATTACAGTAATTCACAGTATGCCAGATCTTAAAAGCAAAGATTTTGGATCTCTCCACGGGGAGAAAAAAAAAAAAGAAACCACCGAAACTGTGAAGCTGTCAGAGGAAATGGCTGGGGGTGAGGCAACAACTGCCATTATGAACATAATGTTAAACTTCCTTTTCTTTAATCCTTTGCCCTAAGTTTTGTATCTACATTTGCTCTGAAATTTGATTCTTCTCCACTTTCCTTTTTTATTGAAGCTCGCCTTCATGTTGCTGCTAATAGCAGCAGGATCAGGCCAAAATGGCCTTGCTAATATAATTTTTTAATGCTCTAAAGAAAAGGGTTTTTCACTTGTGTAAGACTGTACTGCATTCAAATTACTCTGGCAAATTTTAAAATATAGCTCTCTGAGAGACAGAGCAGCACCTGTTTGAGCACATACTACCACTTCACATAACTATGTACAGTAGGAAATGAAAGAAAAAAATACCCAACTGAAATTACAGCAGAAAGTTAGGTAGGCAGCATATCCAAATTACAATCTTGAAAGCAACCGCTGAGCTAATGTTCACTTCCACTGAAAAACACACACTACACAATTTTGAATAATTTGTGTTTTTATTATCACCATAATGACAAGCACTTGGTTCAGACTTTTGAGAAGTAAACTAATGAAATTGGTCAGTTTTGATATGTTCAGTTAAAAAGATCTGGTGGATCTCCTGTCTGTTTGTCCTGAATTTAAGACTTCTTACGCTGCTGATTCCAACTGCCAATACAGACAGGAAACAACTCATGTTAAATTCATGGGGCCCTTTCTTGCACATATTTTAGTAAAGATGTTGAACACTATATTGATTCCAGTTCTTCCTATATATGATATGAGAGTCTATTTTTTCAGTCCCTCACTGTTCATACAAGAGTAAGTGAAATGATTAAATAGCCCACCTACCTTTAGCCCTGTGACATGGGCAATCATGTATGTGAGCAGCGAATAGCTGGCAATATTGAAGGGCACTCCTAGTCCCATATCTCCAGACCTCTGGTAGAGTTGGCAAGATAATTCACCATTTAGAACGTAGAACTGACAAAGAGCATGGCATGGAGGCAAAGCCATCAGAGAAATATCTGAGGAATCGTAATACAGGAAGAAAGGGAAATAAGAAAACAAAACAGCATCAGTGCGTCATAAATGTAGAAGACGCACAAACTGGAAAAGCACAACATGAGATACAGCAGACACCAAAATCGAACTCCACTATCACTTTGTTGCTTTTTCTCTATTTTTTTAAAAGCACCTGACACCTAAACAATTAAGACTGGGTCATAACAAGCTGTCTCTTGAGCTGTAGAAC